AATTTATGAAGGTTCACTCACAATATCTTCCGTACATCAGTGTTGGAAAGTTTGTTTTGTTTGTGCTGTGCTTCAGTGTTATGCCACTTAATACTTCCACTTCATTACATCTCAGGGGGAATGTGGTATGTTTTTAGTATTTGTTTATCAAACCGGCCGTCAAACTCTAACATCTGCACAAACCCAACTGCCTTTGTTTATGTCACATTTACAAGTTAGAGGATTTCACTTCATTACTTAAATGAAACTGATTGGGAGAGAAGTGAACAAAAAGCTGCAAAAAATGTCTTCTCTGCAGAGATATCGCATCAGACCGACGAGAGCTGGCCAAACTCGAAATTACACACATCCTCAACTGTGCCCAGAGCAAGTGGCGAGGCGGTGCCGAGTATTACGCTGGGATGAACATCACTTATCACGGGATCGAGGCTCATGATTCCCCCACCTTCGACATGAGCGTCAACTTCTATCCTGCTGCTGAGTTCATCCACAAAGCCCTCATCAATGGAGGTATTCTGAGAGTGTGTGTTTGTGTGTGAAGTGCATCCTTTGTAAACCTCAACAACATGGAAATATGTGGATTTGTCTGTAGCCAAGATTTCAGAAATGCTAGATCCAGAATTTAAAATTGCAATTAAAAACTATTTTTTGGTGTTCAAATTACGTAACAATTTAAATTTGAAGAATACAAAATGCTCCAAATTGCTTTACAGTTACTATATATTTTTTGGGCAATGAAAATGACAAGCCCCAGGCTTCTCCAGCAATGCACATTTTACACAGCACTAAATGAAAGCAAATATGTATGGATGGATTTTTGGTCTATAAAACTTAATTCAGACTAGCAATCATTTTTATTTGTTTTACTCTTGTCTTCAGCAGACACCACACTGACATATCATCCCTTTTTTTAAGTTGATGCAATGACTAAGTCTCAACGAATTACCTAACAAAATGTATATAAACACGTAAGAAACATATGGAACAGATTTAGGGTTTCATGTTGTTTGTGTGTTCAGGTAAGGTGCTGGTCCACTGCACAGTGGGAGTGAGCCGCTCGGCCACTCTGGTGCTGGCGTACCTGATGATCAGACAGAACCTGACGCTGGTGGAGGCCATCAAAACCGTGAAGGACCACCGAGGCGTCATCCCCAACCGAGGGTTCCTCCGCCAGCTCAACGGCCTGGACGGCATCCTGAGAGAGAGCCGTAAGACGTCTTCACAGAGCTGAAAACACACACTCAACTGATATCTGATATTGGTTTCTTCTGATTCATTTGAATTTGTTATTTATTTATTGAAGTATTTTATATTGTTGTTCGTTTGTGTTTGAGCCGCTGAAAAACATCAACATTGACATTTAATGTCTAAGGGAACTCTCAGCGCATTAATGAAGATCTCATTACGTCTACTTAGTCGAGTCAGTTTTATTGATTACAATACAACTTGGCTGTAAAGAGTCAAAAGCAGGACAGTTTAGGAACAACTATTCTCTTTTCATACCAGGGTAAAGTCCACTTTAATCAAACTTCAGACCATTCCACTCGAAACTGATGTTCTACTGCCGGTGAACCTTCAAAAATGAAATCATAGCTAAACAGAATACAGGCTGCAGGAATCCATATAAAATCTAATCTAATCTCTGGTGCAATTTTTCTTATGTCAAGAAATGTCTTCAAATGTGTTAACAATTATTACTGGAAGAAGATGAAATGATCTCATCTCACTGGTAGATTTTTACAAAAAACAGTCACTTGTACTCATTTTATTACCAAAGTCCAAGCAGTCCAACTTACCATGTCATTGTAGTAAATATAGACATATAAAATACATAATTTCCTTCACTGGAGACATTGAATAGTGTAGTTAGAAACTGTGTTAGAATAATATATGACTAATGTTGATGTTTTAATAAGGGCAATTGTAGGTGGTTGCGTTATTTTATAATAATGCAGCAATTTATGTAAATGTTTTGGTAACTGGAAAGGAAGACAACCAATTGAATCATAATGAAATATTTGCTAAATGATATACGATAGAAAAAACAACAAGGAAAAAATAAATAAACATTAATAGTACTTGTTTTGGTTTTAAAATGAGGCATCATTAATGTGAACTAGATCAATGGGAATCAGAGTATTGCCACTGGCTCTTAGAGCTCCTTAGAATCATAAAGGTGAAATTGTTCTCTCATGCAAGAGAGCTAGTGTGCACTTGTTCACACTTACATGTTATGGTTGTGATTCAGGGTCCCAAACATTTAGTCCCTGGAAATACCACACCTGGTTTTTCAACATACGGGCTTTCCTGTCTTTTGTAATCAAAATGGAGGGTTAAACCTATGATATCAGCCCTCAGTAAGAAGACTCTTGCTCATTATTCCCCATAGATTAAGCATTTGCAGGTCTTCCCTCTACTTTTTTTACATTCAGCAAGTGTCATTAAGTGCTCTGAACAGCTCACACACTAGCGCAGGTCTATACCAGCACAGTTATGTAGCCTGTCGATTATTGTACTACAGTGTTGTCACAATCTGTACACAATTGTTAGCTGTGAGTTTGTGAATAGCGCATACAGTATACTTCAGTATGCTATGATTTTCGTTCGAGTTCAATGTATTGTTTCAATCAAATAGTCACAGTCCTTCTTAATATTTGTATTCGATATCTGAAATTCATCAAGTACAGATGGATGGACATCTACGAGATGAACATTACAGTCTGGTTTATCACTCCTTAATCACTATAAGGGTGAATATTTAATATGCCTGCATTTAGAGGCACTGACACTTGACGTGCAGTGGGAGAAAATACCACAAATGTGCCATTGCAAAAGCTACCAACTGCCTGGCTGTCAGGAGAGTTCAGTGTTCAGTGCTGTACGCGAGTCTTACCAAGTCCGCTCTTTTGTCTTGTTATTTAGTGAGGCCTGTGTTCTCATGCTAACGAAAAACAATCGAGGATCCAATGCTGACATTTAAACCAGCTTTTCAAATACCCTCCAGTGTTTTATTAATGATTACCTCGGGTATCACATCTGTTTTTTGTGACTTGTGGTCTTCATTTGTGCTGTTTTAAAACCACCATGATGAAAGGGGGTAAAGAGTTGTACTTTGCTCAACTCACAGGGAAAAAAACAATGTAAACTAAAAGCTAATTAGTGGATTTGTACAGCCTGTGGGGGTATTAGGGCATAGTTTGAATGTTTTTGAAATAAGCTCATCGGATTTTCCTGCCAATAGTAAAATGAGAAGATAACTGCGATAAGCATGGAGCTGGGGCAGGAAGTGATTAGCTTAGTTTAGCTTAGCATAAAAGCTGGAGGCAGAGGTAAACAGCTAGCCTGGCTCTGTTTAACATGTTTTAGATTAATGTTGCTCACGGATTAAACATACAAGACGTTTCATGTAATGGGCCCCTCTGTTGCTACGCCTTCCAAAGTCTGTGTTTACAATTAGCAACAAAGGCAGTAATTTTTGATATAACAGGTATTTGATTTCCCACAAAAGTTAAAAATCTTAACAGGTTTGACAGTGTTGTTGGTAAACTAATACTAGCAGATTTTATCAGATGTAGTTGTTAAAGCTAACTGTAATTTCGCTGATTTTGGTAGCCTTTAAAAAAAAATAGCTAGCAGTTTTTATTTCTGTCTTTAGTGCTAATGCTAAGCTAAGATAATCACCTTCCTATTGACTGCACGATATCTTTAAAGAGTGTTTCGGGTTGTGGCCTTGTAAAGCGCTATCGCGATTTCACGGGACAGTTTGCTTGCATTGTGTTTTAGATTAATACCCATTTGCATCGTAGCTGGATTCTTTGGGACCAATATATGACCCAAGGGGCCACATCAGAGCCTGAAATCCATATTGCATGAAACATATTTTCCATGGGATCTTGGATATTTTAAATTGGCAAATTTGGTATATTTGGATTGATTTGTGAAGGCATGAAGTAACTACCACAATCCAGAATATATGGTAATTTGGTGTCAGGAAAAGCAGAGATTTACTTATGTGTAAGACTTTGTTAAATACAACGATGTCCTGGTGCAGCTTAGACCGTCTTTTTCAAGAATATTTCCACTCAGTTAATACACAAAATAAACACTTTAAAATAGGTGAACTATCCAAGAATATTCCTCTGGATAGGGCCTTTAACCATTGCGAACTTTACCTTTTCTGTATCAGATCTGTGTTTTGTATTTGTGGTTTTACTGTGCAGTGATTGGTCGTTGATCTCTATTCCCATTTATATTCTCTTTATTTTTGTTTTCTCACTGAAACCTTTCTATAGGGAAACGTTAACTATATTGAATGTATTTTTGTATTACTCCCTTTGAGGTTCATTGGAAACTGGCAAAGGAGATGTCGATGCGTTAATCTGTGCACTTCACGTTGGATTTTAATGTTTTTATTGTGAATAACACTGAGCCTACTTTGTTTTGATCAATTCTGTACTTAATCAGAAATAAAAAAAAACTAAAACTTCTCTCAAAGCAGTTGTACTGTATTTTGTATTTGAAAGAGGTATATTTCTATTTCTACACCATTACATCAAAGATGCATTTTTAAAACACTGCATTTGTCTGACAGCTTTTGAAGGACTTACATTTATAATATACTTATTCCAGCACTGTTTAATGATAGGAGTGTCATTTTTCACTGGTTTGAGTTCAAGAGATTCCCCTAAAACTAAGACTTGTTGTCTTAGTTGCGTCTGTGTTGTTAGCTTAGAATGAGCTCTTCACATCTACATACTACAGAGTTCCACGTTTTGTTTGTACAGTAGCCCAGAACAGAACAAAATAAACACTATAAGCAGGCCTTTTGCGCTCATTGACCCAATTTTCATTTTTAATTCTTATAATGACTTTAGAAGCAATGTCACGACAATGATAAAAGACTAAACCTTATTTTTAAAACACTTGCAATGGAAGATCCCACCCAAATTCCCCAAAAATTATTAGAACAAAGCATCTTTATGAATGAGATGACAAACACATTCAGCTTTAGGTTGCTTTATTGACACTTTCAGCCTCATTTTGAAGTGGATGTTAGAGGGTACATGGGAACTTAAGGAGCTTTGTCACACTATTATAATTCACCACAGTCTGCAATGACAACCTTCGCCGAAGGAGCACCTTTTTGCGAGCCTACCGCGTCCATTTTCTGGACGACGTCGATGCCCTCCACCACCTTCCCAAACACCACGTGCTTCCCGTCCAGCCTGAAAAGGAAAGAGGCAACTCTGAAATAGGCTGAAACAGTTTGAATAAGCCTGAATGCAACAGCACATGGCTCAAAGTGGAGCTTACCAGCTAGTGTCCCCTGTGCAGATGAAGAACTGGGACCCGTTGGTGTTTGGCCCAGCGTTCGCCATGGACAGTGTGCCCAGGCCCTGATGCTTCAACTTGAAGTTCTCGTCACCAAACTTCTCCCCGTAGATGGATTTGCCTCCAGTTCCATTGTGTTTGGTAAAGTCCCCACCCTGAGAAAACATTAAAAAGTCTCAGTTGACTCAGTATTTTTGGCAAATGGCATACAAAAATCTATTTGAGGTTTGATCTGAACTTGAACTAAATTCTTTCCTTTACTCTACCTGGCACATGAACTTGGTGATGATTCGGTGAAAACTGGAGTCCTTGTAGCCAAAACCTTTCTCTCCGGTGCACAAAGCACGGAAGTTTTCTGTGAAATAAAAACACTGTTATTTCCTTTAATTCCCCCCAAAAATATGTCACAAATAATCAGCAATATTTACTCTTTTTTTTGCATCAATCATTTTCAACTACCTCTGCAACAAGTTAGGTGAGGGGCAACCATATAGCCTAGTAGTTTATACATAAAACTGAATCGAGTTTTCCTCTTTTTGTTATCCACAAAAGACCAAAAGCCAGCTAAAACGCAATTGGACAACAAACTGAAACAGAAATCTGCCTGGATACAGATTCTGCATTAATGTGCTTTACATCTGTACTTGTCAGTGGAGTAATAATAGAAACTGTATTTAAGTATCACCTTCTTAAAACTACTGTTATAGAATGCATTGTGAACCAAGAAACTCAAAAGCAAAACAGGAGAGCATTCAAAAACAAAATCATTAACAAGTAGGAAATAGCACATAAGACGGCAGGAGTAAAAACAATGCATGAACATGCACAGAAATAAAAAATCTTATTGGAAACAGATTGAAAACTGAGGGGGGAAAAAAGCCTAAATTGAGTCTTGAGAGTACAATGTACAAGAAACTGGTGAGTTTTTTGTTCTTAATGTTAATCAAGTAAGCTTTTCCAAAGTGTTGGAGCTATAACAGAAAAAAACACTGAACTAGCTAACAGGGCCTTAACCAGGAAGAAGCTTAGCGCCAAATCATGCAGGGCCTTGTAAATCAAGATTACAAATTAAAATGCTTATCAGACAGACATGTTTTAGGCCTCTCAGCTTAAAAAGCAGCAACATCGTTTAGTTTCTCTTTGTAGTCGGGATACTGAGGATATTGCAACAGATCACACCATGATGTATTTGAGCCACCATATAGTAGGATACTCTATGCACAAAGCAAAATGTAGGCCATTTTGTCTGCATCTACTGGGTATATTTAAATGAGATCTTATCACAAAATTAGTTAGACAATTTCTAAGGATTCTCATGCTAGATTCAAGGTTGTGGTACAGAATAAGCAACACTATGCTGTCATCTGCTTGGTGGAAATATTACAAAGAGAACAGTTACTTCCTCTTTGTACTCTTACTTCCTCCTAATCCTCCCTGTGGTAGCACTCCTTTTTTGACTCACATTTGGCACTGCAACTGGTTATTCAGGCTCTCAAATCCTCACCCACAGCCCGCCCCATATTATGAATCATTTCTCAGGTGAGGATTGAAAGCCAATCATAAATCCCTTTGATCGTGGGTGTTTCTCAATGTCGAGGAAAGCAGCCCAAGAGCCACTATTTCTAAGATAATACGTCATCGAGTGCCGCCGGAGGACTGTTCCAATGTCCAGCATACTTGGAATTCTACCAAGGTGCGGGAAATGTCGAGGCTGCACATGTGTAGACTCCGCGGTCTTAAAATCCCCACAATGCTTTGCGCACGGGCCAATTTCCAAATATTTGGTGGAAATCGCGCTTCATTTTAGGCGGGGCCTTGCATATGACGCACACCTGCACACCTGCCTGTACCACAATTCTTCGTTTTCCTAGGCTAGGAAGGATTCTTGTATCGCTTCTGAAGGACCTGACTCGGAGGGACATGTCCTACCAAGGAAGCGTATTCGACATTGAGAAACACCCAGTGCGTGGAAAAAGCCAGAGCAGTGGCTCAGTTATTGCTACATGCACTGCAGTACATTTTCAACGCTTTCTTCCTTATTGGCAAAGCTTACCTGCAGTTTTTGGGACTACATCATTCCGGAGCTGCAAAACACAGACATTGGAATTTGTAAATCATTCAGAGTTTTGTAAAATGCATCCTAGCTGCTCATTTTTAACCTTAATGAAATCACCATCGCTGAAATAAAGGGATATAACTTAATAGTCTTACCTCCATTACAATCCTGCCAGCAGGAGCTCCATCAAGAGTGATGTCAAAGAAAACCTTTCCCATGTTTGCAAACGGCGTTGTAATATGGTTATGATGAAAAAAACATTTCCTGTTGAAGCCTGTACTTATAGGAGTCCAGGAACATGTGATGTCAAAGTTGTTACCAGCCAATCACAGCCATGTGAAGGCTCAAGAATAGACCAATTGGAATGAAGATGGGTGGGGTTCAGTTAGTAACATTACTCCACAGGCGGAGCAATGATCAGTTTTTGAAAATCAGCTCTATGAAACATGCACTCCAGTACAAATATGTTATGATCCAACTCCCCTCAAAAGAAGAAGGTGACATTAAATATATGTTCAGATGGGGAAGGGGGCTCATCCAAAGGGAAAGTATCTGTCCAGATGTGAAAAAATGGTTCTAAGGTTAAGATAACCAAATTATTGTAACGGACGGTCAATACATAAATGAATTTTATGGAGGCAAGGCCCACATTAAACGCAAGTAGAATTAAAAACATAGCAGTCGGAGTCACGAGTGTAATAAAAAGCCTTAGATGTTGCACACTGGAAACTAATGTATTTCAGCTGCAGTATAAACACAGACACCAAAGGCACAAGAAGACTCAAGATGTCATGTCATAAATCACCTGAGCCACCCCTTGAAAAATCCTGTAGGCCTACTGAAATACATACGACGGACACAATACTATTTTCTCGGGTTAAGTTTGTAGTAGATTTACTCAAGTATTGTACTTAATTACAATTGTATGCTACCTTGTACTTTTACTCCACCACAATTCAGAACTAAATCATGTACTTTTTTCAACTAGTGCCACTTTGCAGATTTGTATTAATGTGAAATATAAACACTTAAATCCGACTTTAGTAAATTCCGACTTTAGTAAATTCACAAGCTACCCTATAGTATATAAAGTCATTCAGCTAGCTGCTTTGATAACACTTGAATGCATCAATAATTATAATCAAAACATATTAACATGGTCCAATTTGCATAACAAGTACTTACACTTTTGGTACTTTAAGTATATTTTGATGCCAATACTTGCATTTTTAACTTATTATAAATGCATTATTTGTACTTGTAACAGGTTTTTTGTACACTGTAGTAGTTCTTTTAAGTACAATAGCTGGGTACTTCTTCCACCACTGGACAAATATGACATCACTGAGCTGAGTTAACGGGCAAATATTTCTACACAAATAGACAACACCGCATTTATGTATTGCATTACAAATTAGAAAATGTATTCCCTGCTGAAAATGTGTGCAAATGGTGTAAGCTGCGTTAATTTGTTGCTGAATTCAACTGAAAATGCAGAAAAAGGTGAATATGTTAATAGTTGAATGGTATCTGTAGCTGCTTTTAGCTACAGAGACCAAGTAAGTGTTTTGCTGAACTTAGCAGAAAAATGCAGAAAAGTGAAATGATTTGAATCGAAAATTGTTACAACTCAAATGCATTGCACTGACTTTGATGAACATTTGAAAGTGAAGTGTTCAACTGGAAGAGTAGGGAAAATAGTGATGAAGCTTAATATTTCAAAGAATAGTTTAAAAAGGTATAAATAAAACAATGTATAGCCTCAATGTCCTGAAATAGCTGAATCATTTAACAGTTTAATGGTTTCTGTAGCTGAAAGTAGGCTGAAGTAGTTAGATATCAGATGTACATAGTAGTATACTGTAAGTACAAGTAGTAGTAGTAGTAGTACTAGTAGTAGTAGTAGTTTTAGTAGTAGTATTAGTAGTATTAGTAGTAGCTATAGTAGTGATAGTAGCAGTTGTAGTTGAAGTATAGTAGCAGTAGTAGTATCTGTAGCCTACTAGTAGTAGTGGCAGTAGCAGCAGTAGTAGTAGCAGCAGTAATATAAGTAGTTGTATGAGTAGTAGAGGTGTTGTTAGTAGTACTAGTAGTTGTATAAGTAGTTGTAATTGTATTAGAAGTTGTAGTAGTAGTCATGTAGTAGTTGTATTAGTAGTAGTAGTATTTGTAGTAATAGTGGTAGTAATATAAGTAGTCGTAGTAGCAGTATAAGTAGTAGTTGTAGAAGTAGTAGTCAAAGTAGTAGTAGTAGTTGTAAAAGGAGCAGTAACAGTCATAGTTGAAGAAGTCGTAGTGTGTATGTGTGCGGGGGGGGAATAATTTTGAAATAATTTGAACAGAGTGTATATTTTGGGATTGAGCGGTTTTTAAATATTTTTTCAGAAGATTTGAAACACCCTCTACACTCAAAGTGATGATGTCACACACTCTAGCCCTGAAGAGTCCGTCCCATAGACACCCATTATAAAATCAGCCTATAGTAGAGGGTTATGAGAAAATCGAGGTGTCTCTAGTTACGACATATAGAGTTGACAAAACAGACCATTAAAGTGCGTCGTTTTTAGTCTTTTCACTGTTGACTAAACTGTAGCGTCTCCACTAGTTAGTCGACGTCTAACAGCGTAATTAAGGCGCTATAGACTAGAATGTCTAACTGTGAAACTCATGTCAGCTGGTCATTACGTTGTGACCTTGTCCGTCCCTATCACAATCGCTGAGATTATAATCCCACAAAACTCTTTCACCGAACTGTTACCTATAAGAGTATCTTAATCAAATTTTCCATATTATGGTTTCTCTTGACTACTCGGTTGTGAGGCATACAGCTTGTTCTATCTTCGTTTGTAGCTTATACAGGTTTCTTCTATTTTTTGTACGGATTTTCAAGTACATAATAGTGTCTAACTCGTCTTTGAGCATAGATGAACATACGACAACCTTTGCTCCATGTACGCACATGAGCGCTTCAATAAATATCCATGACTCGTCGTATTATCGACATGAGCCTTCTGTTACAGATAACCCTCTATCAATCTTCAATTAATCTTTCCATCTTATGACTTTCTAACACAGCAATTTACGGAAACATGTAACATTGGTTAGCATCCTGTCGAAAAATATCAAATTTTCATTGCTTTTTGATATTCTGATCTAATATATGCTCATTATATCGTATTGGTAGAATTCTAGATCAATATCACTAAATTTCCTATTATACAATCTGAAAATCCAATCAGAGAAATCAGATACATATATAAGATAAATTCAAAATATCTTGAATACTAAGTCAATCCGTACAAAACAAGTTCCACCGCATTTTGCTATACGAGTATCGTACGTCACGTCATCACTGCAATATAAGAACTTCGACTTGATGACCGAATACAAAGCAAGAAAGTGTGACCTCTAATATACAGAATATACATAATATAGGTCATACGTCGCATATATATATGTCATCATCTATCGATCTGTCATTATATTCATCCTATAATCATACTCTATCATTTTTCACACTACAACAATCATCTATGATTCATCAACATATAGTATATTCATCAACAATTATAATACATACTTCAAACATCATCTAATTCAGTACATACTATCAACATAAATTCTCATTTATCAATTAAAACTCATATATCACCATATTCATTCATATATTCATGACATGCTATTGTAAAGACCTTATACCAGTCACGGTCTTCATATAAATTCTTTTATATCTTAATATACTTAAACAATTCTCTACATCAATCCCGCTTACCGGTATTCACTGTCATGCAGATCAGTGAGGATACAAACGTTGATGATTTCCTCTGTCACGAATGTCAGTCAGTATATTACATATCTTCTTAATGTATCACACATCCAGTGCTATAAGACGCTCTTGCACCGCGCTCGCTCTTTCTCTAATTAATATAGATAACATTTTATATCAAAACTTAGGTCGATATTGTCAAACTCATTAAAAAGAGCATAACTTTCATACAATTTATGCCAAATAGAACTATAAACCTAAACAACAAAAGTATAGATGTTCTCTCTAAACTTTCGTGCGAGCAGGAGATTGGGTGAGTGGTTTCCTCTACTGACAGTGTGTGAGATGCGAGAGACATTTCTCACCAGAAGTTAGCGTCGTAAGGGGATATTAGATATCTGTGCGTCCGGGTATCTATTGTAATGTCTAGACATATTCATAAACCGTCGTATATGTAGCTCACGACGCTAGGAGTTGTAGTTGGCAACTTGTGAGTGCTAGCTATCAGATTGATCTGGCTTGTTGTACTCACTCTATTGTTCTCATCATCCATACCCTGTGTAAAGCCTGGAGTTTCATAGCAGATACATTTAAACCTAAACTTACGACGATTGGTAATTGGGAAGAGACAAAACAAGGTGCACACGTCTGTAGACTTGGCTAATTGATGAAGTTAGTTAGTAAAAATTGCAGACACAACTATTATAATCTGTAAGAACCTTCGACTGAACGTAATTCCTGTCCTTATCACATTATACACGGAACCTAGTGTCATCTCGCTAAACTCTCTAGTTCTATCTTCTTCGTATTACCTACGAACTGTGTCTCGATTGTGAAAGCAACTTCATACACCTCTACTAATAATCATCCAAGCTGGAAACAACTTGTCTATGTCCAATTCTTTTATGGAATTTTTTACTTATGAGAAGTTATTCTTACAAGTGTGTCCCGTTATCATTGTCGTAACTTCAATAAGTTTACCGTTTTTTACCCCACTTTATTCTTTTTCTTCTTCTGCGTATATTCTTCTCTTCTCCCGTTAATCCCGTGGTACAAAGGTCCTAGTCATATTATTGTGTAGTGTGTTTGTGGGTGGGTGTGGGATAGATAGATAAGTGTTTCGTCGCATGATACCACGGAGTTCACGATTATGGTATTTAGATGGTACACTTTTTTCATGTGTTGGTCACGTGATTTACCGTAGTTGTTTTCGTGGTTGTGTGTGTCTTTCTTTTAAACTGTCGTATAAGGGTGTTCCGTTAGTAGTACAAATGGGTGTCTGTATAATATATGGTGACTGTGATGGTAGTACCTAGGGGACCGTGTTGCGTCTAAATGTGAATACACGGTTCACAAGATTTGACTAACAATATCGAGATTATATTTTATGGTCAGAGACAGAACAGTACATTGGTGTCTCGACGTTATTGCTCTTTATCAGAATGTTCGGCGACTATAACTTTCCTCACATATCTTATTTAAACCATACAACTCTGCTACC